TTATTATTATTATTATTATTATTATTATTATTATTATTATCTTAGAGATCTTAGCAACAGAAAGAACAACAACTCAAGACCTTCTTTAAGACCAAAGGACGTATTATCAATCTTTCATCTGTTGGAATTCAGGACCCTCAGAAGACATGAAACTGTGAGGGGGGTGGTAGAAACTGGTTAATCACTTACAGCTTACTTAACTCTCCTGTGTGACACAGGAAGTATTTCTGCTGAACTGAACTCTGGGGGAATACCCGGATGGATTGACGAATTGTTTATATATTGCTATTGCATCGTAATTGCTTTTGATACGTTTTGCAATAGCGCAAATGAATCATGATTGCCAAGCTATTCATGCTTTTTTATCATTAATGGGTTATTCCAGTTGAATGACAGTTCGAGAACGTTACAAGAATGATTGCAGGACTACGTCGTGTGAAAATCTTTCCCCTGATCACGCAAGAATGATGGTAACAATACTCTTCCCTAACGCTTTTTACCCCATGTGATAATCTTCAGTCTCTAGGGGCAGGATTTAGTAGTGGGTGTAGGGTTTGCCCACTCAATCTGGCCCATGGAAGCTCTGCAAATGACTGGCCACCTTGGGTGTCATAAGGAGTCATAAGGAGAAAGGCGGGATATAAATTGAATAAATACATAATAAAATAATAATGATGAATGAGTTTTAGCTAACTGTACAACTGAAAATGCCATGTATTAAGTGGCTATACAGCAGGTGTGGGAATCATGCAGTCCCCCAGATGTTTTTGACTATACTGCTGCTGACTGTTGTAGTTCACCAACACTGGAGGGAGGGGTTGCATGATTTCCAGCAACTGACAGGGGTTTGCCTTAACAATTGCAGAAACAAAACATGCCAAGCCATCCTAAGTCCTAGTAGCATTAGTATCACAGGATCATAGAATCATAGGGTTGGAAGAAACCACAAAGGCCATCCAGTCTAACCCCCTGCTATACAGGAATACACAAAGCACTCCTGACAGATGGGCATCCAGCTTCTGTTTAAAAACCTCCAAAGAAGGAGGCTCCACCACTCTTCAAGGGAATATGTTCTATTGCAAACAGATCCTACTATCAGGAAGTTCTTCCTAATGTTTAGATGGAATCTCTTAAACATTAGGAAGAACTTTTCATAATAGTAACAGGATGAGTAGTAAGTAGTAAGTTGTAAGTAGTAGAACAGTAAAAGCTGCTCACCATTAATACTACTAAGCTTTTATATGCCATGTCTGCTGGTATGTACTGTATTTGTTATAATTGCAATGGCCACTGGTTTGACAGAAATAAAATTTGATTTGACTTGACTACCATTTCTGCTACAGAACCAAGAGAAGTCTCAGGGAATTCCTACTATGTCTCCAACAAGCCATTGCTCAGTATTTTCAACAGAATGAGGATACAATGAGGATATGTCCATCTATTGGAACAACTCAGTGCTTTAAAAACATCCATAACATTTTTAAAAACAAACAAACAAACAGAGAAATGCATCAGCGTTGCTTTCCAGTTCCCTAAGGCTTGGTAATGGATAGCTGGAAACAGATGTGAGAAAAGCAACAGTGAAGGGAGTGAGTAATTGCTAGTGCTTCTTTCTGAAATGCTCAAACAGCAGCATTCGGGCGAACAGAGAAATGTACCAAACAATGGCAAATGGTAGCTTCCACATCAGGGAATAATGAAGCCTCTCTGAGTTTAATCTGAATTTTAAAAAGCTATTCAAGGTACTGGACCCATTTTAGGGAATAAGGTTTAGCAACTTGGTAGCAGAAAGAGAGGAAGACCACATGCCAGATGGCTAGACTCAATCAAGAAGGTCATGGGCATGAATCGGCAAGACTTAAGCAGAACAGTGAAAGGCAGGGGGTCTTGGAGATGTCTCATCCACGGGGTCACCATGAATCAAGGTTGACTCCAGAATAATTAACAACAGCAGCAAAACCTGGACAACACGTGAAAAACCCACAGCAGATAATCACCCCCACTGAAATGGGAGCCAACAACCATCACTGGCTGACTGACGTTACCTCCACTCTCTAGCAGCCCTCTAATGGCTCTATGAAGCAAAAACTGAACTTCTGCACACATATACAAGGCATGCATCAGCCTCTGTGCTAAATGTCTCTAATCTACAATGGGACTTTGGTATCTACTGGGGTTTGGTTCCAGGAGCCCCTGTAAAAACCAAAATCCATGAATGTTCAAGTCCATTAAATACATAGTAAAATGGTGTTCTTTATAAAAAAATGACAAAATCAAGGTGTGTGGGTTTTTTTTTCCCTTTTTGGAATTTAGATTTTAAAAAAATATTCTATTTATTTCATTTTTATTTATTTCATTTTTATGTCAACTTTCTCCCAGAACAGGACCCAAGGCAGCTCACATTAAGCCATGTATGGTTGAATCAATGAATAAAGAATCCATGGATTTGGAGGGTATTTTTCTACAGTAGCTGTATGGTGTAGTTTTTGGAATGCTAGACTAGAATTCCAAGAGATCAGGGTTCGAATCCCTGCTCAGCCATGTAAACCCCCTAGGTGATCTTGAACAAGTCGTACTGTCTTAGCTTTAGTAATGGCATAATTCTTCAGAATAAATGTTGCCCCCCCCCCAAAAAAAATCCTATGATAGGCTCACTGTAAGCCAGTTAGCCTGAAGACAATAACAAAAACAAAAGATTTTTCAACATTTTTATTTCCTGGTAGGATTGGAATATTTGATCCTCCTCACATATTTTCATGGTGGCTGTACAAGAGGACCCTTTGCAGTTTGAGGTGGGTTTTCAAATAAGGAAAGTGAGCAATTATATTGCAAATTACATACAAAATAGAACCACAAGTCATTTAGAAAATGTTGGAAAGATAGGTGTAGAATTTTCTTGTAGAGCAGTAATGTTAAGATTTGAGAGAGGGAAAACCCCATGATAGGTTCGCCTTAGGGTTACTATAAGTTTGAAATGACTTAAAAGCATGCACACACACACGCGCACACACACGCGCGCACACACACACAGACACATACAGCTCACACACATTGATTTGAATTCTGTTGATTAGCTCAAAACAGAGTAGATCCACTGAATCAACTGTTGACTGGTGAGTCAACATATTGGCTAGTTGCACTGATTCAACTGGTCTACTTGGAACTAGAAACAGAATTAGGCTCTTTAGTTTTTGTGGGTTTTTCGGGCTGTGTGGCCATGTTCTAGAAGAGTTTCTTTCTGATGTTTCGACAGCATCTGTGGCTAGCATCTTCAGAGAAAAAACTCTTCTAGAACATGGCCACACAGCCCAAAAAACCCACAAAAACTATGGATGCCGGCCATTAAATCCTACGACTTCAGAATTAGGGTCATTTGACTTGGCAATAGATTTTCATTGTATGGAGACCTTAGGCTGCATCTGCATTGCAGAAATAATACAGTTTGATATCGCTTTAACTGCCATGATTCAATGCTATGGAATCCTGAGCTTTGTAGTTTGTTGTAACACCAGAGCTCTCTGAGAGAGAGGGCTAAATACAGTGGTACCTCTACTTACGAATGCTTCATCTTACGAAATTT